AAATATAATACAATTTATCAAAAACAGCACCGTATAGGAGACAGATTAGGCATACAAATCGAAATAGCGAAGAATAGGGTACAAAAACACTTGTCCACCCTAGATGGGTTTTAATTGCCAGGACCAGAGGGAAGGCATCCCAGAATTCTGAAGGAGCTGGCAGACATACTCTTGGAACCATTGAACCGTGTCTTTCAAAGAGCCAGGAGCATCGGGGAACTACCAGAGGACTGGAAAAGGGCTGCTGTAATTCCCACCTTCAGACAAGGGGGGGGAAACGGTTCCAGGAAACTGTAGACCTATCAGCCTGACATCTATACCTGGAATGATTCTGGAAAAGACAATCAAGCAATGAATCTGTGAACACCTAGAGGCAAACAAAGTTGTAACCAGAAGTTAACATGGGTTTGTCAAAAACAGATCATGCCAGACAAATCTTATCGCATTCTTTGACAAAGTGACAAAATTAATGGATCAGTGAAATGCTGTGGATATAATTTATTTAGACTTCAGTAAGGCATTTGACAAGTAGACCACAACCTACCTCTTGGTAAGATTAAAAAAATTGGGATAGACAGCATTACCACCAGATGGATTTGCAACTGGCTGACCAACTACACTCAACGTGTTGTCCTCAATGGAACTACATCTAAATGGAGTGAAGCATGCAGTGGGCTATCTCAAGATTCTGCTTTGGCCCGATACTCTTCAATATCTTCCTGAATGATTTAGCTGAGGGAACAGAAAGGGCACTCATCAAATTTACCAACAACAGCAAATGAAGGAGGGGGAATACTTCAGAAGATGCAGAAGGATTTTGACAAGACTTGAATACTGGGGCCTATCCAACAAAATACACTGCTCAAAAAAATAAAGGGAACACTTAAACAACACAATGTAACCCCAAGTCAATCACACTTCTGTGAAATCAAACTGTCCGCTTAGGTAGCAACACTGATTGACAATCAATTTCACATACTGTTGTGCAAACGGAATAGACAACAGGTGGAAAGCAGAGGCAGTTAGCAAGACATCCCCAATAAAGGAGTGGTTCTGCAGGCGGTGACCACAGACCACTTCTCAGTTCCTATGCTTTCTGGCTGATGGTTTGGTCACTTTTGAATGCTGGCAGTGCTTTCACTCTAGTGGTAGCATGAGACGGAGTCTACAACCCACACAAGTGGCTCAGGTAGTGCAGCTCATCCAAGATGGCACATCAATGCGAGCTGTGGCAAGAAGGTTTCCTGTGCCTGTCAGCGTAGTGTCCAGAGCATGGAGGCGCTACCAGGAGACAGGCCAGTACATCAGGAGATGTGGAAGAGGCCGTAGGAGGGCAACAACCCAGCCTCAGGACCGCTACCTCCGCCTTTGTGCAAGGAGGGACAGGAGGAGCACTGCCAGAGCCCTGCAAAATGACCTCCAGTGGGCCACAAATGTGCATGTGGCTGCTCAAACGGTCAGAAACAGACTCCATGAGGGTGCTATGAGGGCCCGACGTCCACAGGTGGGGGTTGTGCTTATAGCCCAACACCATGCAGGACGTTTGGCATTTGACAGAGAACACCAAGATTGGCAAATTTGCCACTGGCGCCCTGTGCTCTTCACAGATGAAAGCAGGTTCCCACTGAGCACATGTGACAGACGTGACAGGGTCTGGAGACACCATGGAGAACGTTCTGCTGCCTGCAACATCCTCCAGCATGACCGGTTTGGCAGTGGGTCAGTAATGGTGTGGGGTGGCATTTCTTTAGGGGGCCGCATAGCCCTCCATGTGCTCGCCAGAGGTAGCCTGACTGCCATTAGTACCGAGATGAGATCCTTGTGAGACCATATGCTGGTGCGGTTGGCCCTGGGTTCCTCCTAATGTAAGACAATGCTAGACCTCATGTGGCTGGAGTGTGTCAGCAGTTCCTGCAAGACGAAGGCATTGATGCTATGGACTGGCCCGCCTGTTCCCCAGACCTGAATCCAATTGAGCACAACTGGGACATCATGTCTCGCTCCATCCACCAGACTGTCCAGGAGTTGGGGGATGCTTTAGTCCAGGTGTGGGAGGAGATCCCTCAGGAGACCATCCGCCACCTAATCAGGAGCATGTCCAGGCGTTGTAGGGAGGTCATACAGGCACGTGGAGGCCGCACACGCTACTGAGCCTCATTTTGACGTGTTTTAAGGACATTACATCAAAGTTGGATCAGCCTGTAGTGTTTTTTTACACTTTAATTTTGAGTGTCACTCCAAATCCAGACCTCCATGTGTTGCTAAATTTGATTTCCATTGATAATTTTTGTGTGATTTTGTTGTCAGCACATTCAACTATGTAATGAACAAAGTATTTAATAAGAATATTTCATTCATTCAGATCTAGGATTTCTTATTTTTGTGTTCCCTTTATTTTTTTGAGCAGTGTAATACGAGAAAAGTCAGATTTTACAGTTAAGCAAGAAAAAACAAACACAGAGATACAGAATAGGCGATACCTGGCTCAACAGTAGTAACTGTGAAAGGATCTACCACTTTAGAATGAGCCAGCAGTGTGCTGCAGCCGCCAAAATAGCCAGTGCAGTCCTAAGCTGTTTCAACAAAGGGATAGCTTCAAGATCACGTGAAGTGATACCACGCTTTGTTTATTCATTTATTACACTTTTATGCCACCCACCTCCCCTATAAGGTGACTCTTATATCTACAGACCCCTCACATCCTGGACATCAACTGTTTCAATACCTCCCCTCGGGATGGCGTTACAGGGCATTAAGATGTCAACACAACTAAACACAGGGACAGTTTTTCCCCTCATGCCACCAATCTACTAAACACCTAATTCTCACAGTGCTGTCTAATGTCTATGTATATTTCCCCATGTCGTATGGCTGCAGCATTATCATTTACCCTGCTTATCTTCGCTACTTCCCTCTTTTATTAGTATTATGAAAATAATGATGATTCTGTTGCTTTGCATGTACATTGAAAGCTTCTGCACCAGAGACACATTCCTTGTGTGTCTAATCACACTTGGCCAGATGATGTATCCTATTCTATTCTATGATTTGGTAAGATCACACTTGGAATATTTGCATCCAGTTTTGATCACCACACTACAAAAAAAGATGTTGAGACTCTAGAAAGAGTGCAGAGAAGAGCAACCAAGATGATGAGGGCACTGTAGGCTAAAAGACATGATGAACAGTTGCAGGAACCGGGCCTGGCTAGTCTAGGGAAGAGAAGGACCAGGGGAGACAGGAGAGCATCTTCCAATATTTAAGGGCCTGCCACAGAGAGGAGGGAGGGGTCAAGCTATTCTCCAAAGCACCTAAAGGCAGAACAAGAAGTAACAAGAAGGGATCCAACCTAGAACTAAGGAGAAATTTTCTCACAGTGGGAACACTTAATCAATGGAACAGCTTGCCTTCAGAAACCGTGGATGCTCCATCACTGGAGAGACCATCCAGAAGTCATCGTAAAGTATGACAAATACTGTTTCAGCCCCGTGCTGGGTCTGAAACTGTTTCATTCAGGATCCTCTCAAGGCAGCAATGTGTCAAGCAATTTTCTCTGACTGATGACCTGCAAAGTCTTCCTTCCTAAACTGGAGTAGATACTACTTACTTCAATGTAATGAAAATAAGAGAAAATAACTGAGAAAATAGACTTACTCAGAAAATAAACGTTACGTCTGCTAGTTCAGCTTTCTAACCCGGCAGCCTAAACTCAGCTGCTTTGTAGATGAGAAGCGAAACGTTTTCAAGGGGAAAAAGCCAGAAAGTCCAGTTGCCTCCTGAAAAAGCACCTTTGGGACAAGCGTGACCTGGGCGTGACCGAGAATCTCCAGGGACATTTTTAAGGAAGCTGAGGCCTTCAAGTAAACCCTCTTCCCTATAGACAATAGCAAAACTGTGGATGAGCCAAGGGAGCTTCAGGCACTGGCACAAATGTCCAGAATGGGGAATGTTCAGCCGTGGTCCCAGACGGAGAGACCCTCCTCTTCCTTTGCAGCCCCAGGACAGGCGGACAACAGGAGAGCCAGGCTGCTTGGGGAGGCCGTTGGTACGAGTACAGGCGGCCCTTGACTTACGACCGCAATGGAGCCCAAAAGTTCGTCTGCTAAGGGAGACGTTTGTTAAGTGAGTTCTGTCCCATTTCAGACCCCTCTTGCCATTAAGCAAAGCTGGCTCCCCCCCATCCACTTGACTGTCTGCTAGATTCAAGGCTTGGCCCTCCTGGGGGGGGGGGGGGGTCCCAAGGACGGGGGGGGGGGGGGGGGGGGGGGCTGCCAGGCGCCTCGCCAGCCTTGGCTGGACAAGGCCAGGGGTGGGCCCATGCCCTCTGGGTACCCCCAGCACACCCGAATCGCTCCCCGTGCAGCTTCTACTCCGGAAGGGCCGCCGGGGAGGTGGAGCCCACCGCCTTCTTCGGCTTCCCGCTCCCGTCCTTCGCCTGGCCAGCCGGGGCCACGTGGGAGGAGCAGGAGGCAGGGAAGCCGCCAGTCTGTCAAGGTAGCCCGGGCCCCGGCCAGGCCCACCTGCCCTCGTCCGAAGCCGGCGGGCAGACGGGGGCAGAGGACGGGGCTCCCGGCGAGACCGGCCCCGAGGTGGGATCTCCCACCAGCCGCGCCAGGGACGGGAGGAAGCGCGGCGAGAAGCTCGAGGGCCGAGAGGCGGGGACCCTTTCCGGAGGAGGAGGAGGCGGCGGGCCCGGCGGGACCCTCGCCCGGCAGCGCTCCCTCCGCTTCTCCCCTGCGGATCCGGGCCCTGGCCGCCCCGCGCCTCCCGAGATCGGCCCCGGCGCCCGCCACAGACGCCCCGGGCCTGCTCCGCGCGCGCCCAACGGGGCCAGGGCCTGCATCCCGCGGGGGACCGGCGCCCGCCCGGGCTCGGAAGGGACGGCGCGCCGCCGCGGCCCTCCAGCAGGCGCCGCGCCGGCCTTCCATCCGCCCGCCGGGGCCCCGGGCGGCGAGCGTCGGCGGGGGAGGAGGAGCGCGGCGCGGGCCCCTCCGCCTCACCTGCACATGATCCGCCATTTTGCTCCATTCATGTTCTGCTGCTCCGCCGCCACCGCCACCGCCGCCGCCGCCTCCGCCGCCTCCCCCTCCCGCAGGCGACCCAAGCAAGGTTCCTGCGCGTGCGCGCGTCCGGCGGCCTCCCCACGCATTCAGCGTAAGGGATGCCCGAGCGCCAGCGGCCGCGCTGCGGCGCGTGCGTTTAGAGAATAGCGCGGCTCAGTGCAGCGGCGTAAGAAGGCCGGTCGCGCGGCAGCGACGTCGGCTGACGCGCGGGGGAGAGGAAGGGGAGGAGCCGCGCTGTGTTTACCTGCTTCTTAAAGGGCCCGCGCGCCGGTTGGGGGCCCAGAACGCGCCTGCGCGGCCCGGAGAGAAGCGGGCGGAGCGGGGTGGCTCGAAGCCGCGGCGGCGGGAAACGGGCCGAAGGCAGCAGAAGCGCAGCGTCTTCGTCTCTCCCGGCCATCCTAAGGGGAGCGCCGGGGCCCTCTACGGGTCTCTGCCTGGAGGGAAGGAGCCAGCGCCGCTCCCCTCCAGTCCTTCTGGGCGGAGAGCCGGAGGAAGGGAGCCCCGCGAGCGGCAGGCGGCGGTTCCCGAAAGGGGCGCATCCGCTGGAACGGAGGAGCGTCGCCCGGAGCCCACCGCAGGCTTCCCTCCCCGGGCGGCCGAGGCCGGAGCTTCCCGTCTCCCCGTCCCCGGTGTCCGAGCCTCCAAAGGCTGGAAGCGTCCCGACAGTCGCTCCCGCCTGAAGCGCCGAGGGCGGTTCAAGAGCGAGACTGGCGACCGGTGCGGTGCCCGGAGTTACGGCCAGGGCTCGGCCCTCGGGCGGCCGTAATGATACCCGGGCTTTCCTGGGATGGTCCAGCCGACGCCGTCCGGGTCTCCTGGTTGTCCCAAAGGAGCCTTTTTCCTTCTTCTTCCAGGAGGCAAAATGGGACTTTCTGTGTTTTCCTTTGAAGACGTTTCGCTTCTCCTCCCAGGAGCTTCTTCAGCTCTGACCGGATGGAGGGGAAGGGAAGGATCATGGACGGATCCCCAGAAACACTGCAGGCCACAGGGACCGTTAGCACCGCCTCAGGGGACCCTGAGGACACACCGAGATAAACCTCCAAGCGCTCCAAGGACCCTCTAAAACAGGGGTCTCCACCCGTGGCCACTTTGGACTTCAACTCCCAGAATTCCTCAGCCAGCTTTGAAGTCCAGAGACTTGAGCTTTGCTGGCTGAGGAATTCTGGGAGTTGAAGTCCACAGGTCTTAAAGTGGCCAAGGGTGGAGATTCCTGCTCTCAAAGGATGCAAATGACCAGCTGTCTGCAAGGGATATAAATTCATCCATTCCCCACCACCCAGTCAGAGCTGAAGAAGCTTCTTGGAGGAGAAGTGAAAGTGAAATGTCTTCGAAAGAAAAAAAATCCAGAAAGTCCAGTTGCCTCTTGGAAAAAAGCACCTTTGGGTTCCCCCAGGTATGTGCTGGAATCGGCAAGAATGAATGGGGTGCCTGCATGTGCATGTTGCTGTAAGGGAAGACTTTTGTTTTTATTTCTTTTCCAGTAGGGAAGAAGTTTGACTTCTCTTTAAAAGATGAAAAGTGATGTGCAAAATAAGGTTAGGAGCCTTCGGGGCATTCTTACCTGGTTTTCGTGTGTTTTCCATTATGAACAAGGTAACCAAATACAGGAAATTACAACGCATACAGTCGTATTATGTAGACATATCTTACTAAATCCTTGCCCGGCTGCTATATTTAGACAGGATAGCAATTTTAGCTTACTATAAAGTCTTAGTGGCTGTTGTCGATCTAGGAAATTTATTTTATTTTTTACTGTATTTTAACTTTTTTCAAATAGCTGAATCCAGAAAAAAATTAATCAGCTTCCTAATGTTTGAATAAGGATTCCTTCCTTCCTTCCCTTTTCTCTGTATAAGAGAAAGTCTGGGTCATGCAGAAAAGGCAGAGAGCCAACCTGAGGATAACATGCTGGTGAAACAGTGTGTGTTCTCTATTTTCAACTTTGCCCCTCTTTTTCAGTTTGTGATCTGGAAGCTACTGAAACATTTGCTAAAGCTGCAGCTGTAATGGAGAATGAAGCACTAACGTGTGGCTTTTGGAAAGGCTACAAGAGCCTCATTTTGTCAATAATGTTGCTGCAAAATTCAGGCAAGGAATTCTGAAAAACTGTTTTAAAAATGTGCTGCTCTTGTAAATAATTTTTGAAAGATTTTACCATGACAAAGATTTGCATGAAATAAATCAGGATATTTTGACATTTATGGAATCATTTGATTTAGAGGGTAGATACCAACAAAACCTAACCAGTGAGAGCATAAAACACCTGAAGCCATGCAAGACCAGGAAATGTGGAGAGAGCGGACTCATAGAATTGGACATGACTGAATGGACAGCATTAGAGAGGGCTGTAAAGCACGGTGAAGCGATATATAAGTCATTGCTATTGCTATTGACATCATTGTAATGGTTAGAAAGCATGGATCCAAATATGCAGCATTTGGAGTAAGTTGAAATATAGATGACATCTTAAAATGTTTTGAAATATATGAAGAAAAAATATGCAAGCCACACTTACTGAGTTATTTAGGAAAGTTACTCTTTCCTTAACTCTGCTTCCTTCCCCATCCACAGGAATAGAAGACTCAGATAATTCTTAGCCATCAACCAGCTATATATTTTTTATTTTTTCAACCCTGTAATTCCTTGCTGTGGTCAGGGCAACTGAATGGAGCTGAGCGCTTACTAGCCAAATGCCCTTCCTGACACCAGTGTGGAGCTTGCAGCAGACATTTTCTCTTTGCGCCTTGATAAACATCTGTCGCGGTCAAGGATTGAGCTCTCAACCTTCAGAGTGGGAGGTGAGCGTCTTCACCTCTAGGCTGCCCCTATTATTTGTTATTTCTTACATTTACATGTTGCCCATTTCACTATCAAACAACTCTAGCCAGCATATCCAATATTACTCAAGACACAGAAAAAGAGCAGTTTACTGTATTGATCCTTATAGGTACTTGTAAGATCTGATTTTGCACTTCTATCTTTGTATTGTAACGCAGTATGCCTATAATAATACTTAAGTATTGCTATGTTATTGAAGCATTGTTATTAAAGACATTTTATAATGTTAAAAAGGTACAGTTCTTGGAAGAGTAACATTGATTACTGAATTAAAGACAGCTTAAGAGAGGAAATCATTAGCCTCCTCTGTCCTACTGCTGCCCCACAGAGAAGTCTTCCAGCCACTAATGGATTCTGCTCCTTGCCCAGGACTGCAGCCCTGCCTGGATTGCAACCACAGAATTTAATACAATTGTGCTGTTTAATTTTCGAGACCAGTCCTCCTCCTCTTAGAGACCTGTTCATTTTTCTGTTGTTCATTACATCTATGGAAATCATAAGCTGTTCCTTGTACTTCTGAACCTGCCAACTGACCTGCAGGTCTGACTGAGCTCCGTGAATTATATTCCCTAGTACTGTGTGTCACAGCCGTCTTGCTATAGTTCGGCACTGTCCTCACTAGATTGTCTGCATGACGCACAAGTTCTGTTCAATTCAAGGGTGGGTCCGTGCATGTGTGTGTCCTGTTTGGGCATCACATTGACTCCAGAAAAAACATTTTTTTCGTACACTAAAGGAAGAGAAAAAGATTCCTTAGGAACATTCTGGATGTGAGTTTTATTAATCTCTTGCAAAAAAACATGCACACCATGTATATCAACAGAACAGTTTCATTGAGGTGCACACTCATCACTCGAGTTCCCAGAATGCAGTGCCATAAACCAAGACAAGTTGGGAACCTTTGCATTAGAGTACAGTAATATAAACACCCGCTGATTATTCTCAACCCTATTCCCCAATATTGTATCTCTTGTTTCACTTAATGACCAGCCGGGTTCACTTAACAATGGAAAGTGCAAGGCACATAATGACCGTAGTGATTTGATTGACTGCGGCAAAAGTCGTAAGATCGGGTGCCCTCAGGATGCTTAATGACCTCAGCAATGGAAATTCTACTCCCAATTGTTGCAAATCCAGGACTCCTTACAACCCAGAGCTCCTTTGTATAGGTGCCCAGTTTGGGATGATAAATGGCAATTTAGCTCCTTTATTGCCCTCCTGCTAATGTGACCTGTGGCGCTTCAGCTTGATCAGGCAGCTGCTAATCCTGAGTCTGGGACCTTTCCATTGTTCAGAGCACACCAGAGCAGGAAGCAGCTCTTCTTACTTCCTGCTCTTGGATTGCGAAAGACCTTCCCCAAACCAGAAGCTGGTAGCAATTGGGAGCAATTTAGGAGGCGTTGGGCAGGCGAAGCCCACATATAACATATTGGGCAGTTTGGGATTGTCAAGTCAGCAGAGGAAACAGTGGATTGCAAGAGCTGCCGTAGTCCTCTACTCTGTTGGGGCCATGGGCGTCCTGAAGAACTGGGTGAGCCAGTCAGCTGCATGCGGAGCCCCCCCACCCGCCCGTCATGACCCTCCTAGTCCCCCTACCCCCCAGTCCAGCAGCTTCTCATTTGGATTTTTGGGAGGGGGAGAGGAGGGAAGAGGTAGGAAGCCACAATCTCAAAGGTATTTTTTTTCAAGAGGCAACTGGCCTTTCTGGTTTTTCTTTGAAGACGTTTCGCTGCTCATCCAAAAAGCTTCTTCCGCTCTGACTGGATGGTGGGGAAGAACCGAAGAAGCTTCTTGGGTGAGAAGCGAAACATCTTCAAAGAAAACCCAGAAAGTCCAGTTGCCTCTTGGAAAAAAAAAGCACCTTTGGGGCAACAGTGACCTGGAGCAGGGGTCTCCAACCTTAGCAACTTTAAGACTAGCCAGCTTTGCTGGCTGAGGAACTCTAGGAGTTGAAGTCCGCTAGTCTTAAAGTTGCCAAGGTTGGAGACCCCTGACCTGGAGGACTGAGCAGCTCCATGGACAGGAAGCCAAGGCAGCCTCTGCCACCAGATGGCGCCCTTTGCTCGCTATTGGCCAGCAGAAACTGCCGAGCTTGCAGGATGGAGCTGTTGGCGGAACTGGGATTCCGGGATGGGTGGCCTTAATAGGTGTTTCCCACCCCTCCAATCTCCACATGGGCTGATCCTGCCAGGGGTCGGGATCACGAGAAATGCAAGGTGAGGATCCGGTTGAGACCCAGTCCTCCCCTCAGGTGCAAAGCAGCTCTGACGCTAGGCCCCCACATGGCAGTGCCCCA